ACTCTTGCGTGTTGGAGCTACGTGCGAATGTTTGAATTGGCCACCTTGAGTAGTAAGAAGTCTGGCTTCTTACTGTCTGGTGGAATCCTTTGTTGGGAGGTGATTAGCTGCCCCTGATTGTTTCTTGTCTGGAATTTCCCTGTTTTTGAGTATTGTTCTTTATTTACTGTCCTGATTTTAGAGCTTTTTTTAATACTGGTAGCCAGATTGTGTTCATGTTCATGGTTTTTTCCTTTCTGTTGAAATTGTCCACATGCTTGTGGATTTCAGTGGCTTCTCTGTGTAGTCTGACATGGTGGTTGTTAGAGTGCAGACTGCTTCAACCAGAGAAGTCAGCCACACCAGAACTAACCTGGACACAGACATGCTGGACCACTCTACATATTCCACAGATATATAAACCCCATTTTCTTAGTTTCCAACAGATCTCACAACCTCTGGGGATGCCTGCCATGGATGCAGGTGAAACGTCAGGAAAGAATGCTTCCGAAACATGGCCATACAGCCGGAAAACTCACAACAACCCGGTGATTCTGGCCATGAAAGCCTTCGACAATACAAGAATATGAATGTTTCCATTTTTTATTCTGAAAACAGCAAGGGCACTGATGTTGCTGCTACTCCCATTATTATCCAATGTTATTCCCACAGAAATTCTTGATACATTTTGTTGTGGTTGCCAAAAAGTTTCCACAAGACACTTGCTTGAACTAGAAGTGAAAAGCCAGGGCTCACAGATCATGAAACACAACCGTTTCTATAGCAAATTCCCCACAACACATTGAGTGCTTCCGACTTTCAGGAAAAATATGTTCATTTATATGTGAGCAAGACAATACGATGCTTTCATACATTTCACATCTTGGACCTATACATCTTTCAAAGGTCCAGGCTTTTGAAGGAAAATAAAACCATACAAAGAAAAAGAAATAAGTGGAAAGGAATGGCGGGGGGGGGGGGGATTCCAGAATAGCACAGTCGTACTAACCTAAACACCATTCTGAAGATATATCCTCAATTATTTCTCACCCTCTAAAAATCATACTGTTTTGTAACTTAATTTTGCAAAAAGCCTTTCAATACATGTGTTCTTCAATTAGGATTTCAGGCATTGCAAGAATTCAGCTTTCTGGATGTATGCCCCTCCAGGGAAACAGCCCTCAGACTACTCAGAGCAGAGGCAATATTCCCTGGAAGAAATCCATGACTTGTCAATCATAATCTTACACTGAGATATGCCGGGAGGACACAACATCTGACAGAACCACCTCAAACAGCACATTCCCTTGCAGTGTTTGCCGAGACGTAAAACATGCTTGAAATCAAGAAAGGTCTGAGGTTGGATTTGTGTCTTTGAACAGGAGAGGAATTCACAGAGCCATGGTCAACAACAGCTCCCTGTTTGGTGTATGGCACACAGCCCCGTAATGTGTGAAATGGTGCCAGACCAGCTGTGATCACTATTCCAGTGTCTATAATACCTTTATTTTTCAGATTGTGAAAATATCCCCAATAAAGAAAGCTTTCAGGTTTGCTGGCTGAAGCCTCTGAGGTTAGTCAGGCAGTCAGTCTATTCAAGTTGTGAGCCAAAGAGAAAATCATTGGAGCTATTCTGGAAATAAGATTAAACACTTGGAGAGCTTCTTTAAAGTTCAGACTCATGCCTAGAGCACACTCTCTACCCCATAGGCTGCTCCTAAGCCTCATCTAGGTTCAGCACCATGGACAGTCCCTTAACCGTTTAGATTCTCATCTTGAACAGAGCCACATCCCCCTAACAACAAGAGAGTGACCAACTGACAATGGGCATCATTGGACTAAATGGTACAAATTGGGGATGGAGAGAAACAGTTCTCTCCATCCCCATCTGGGTACTGTTTCTGGGAGAAGAGAGAGGATTTGGAAGAGTGTGAAAGCTTGCATTGTATCATACTCTTTAACAATTTTAAATAATGATGTGGTGCATGCACATCTGTGGCACTGCACAGACACCCTTTCCTCATAGGTCCTTGCCAGCTCCAGCCCATGACACTTCCCTCGAGAGTGACAGCACATGGAGAGGGCTCTCCCCAACCCTTCAAAAGTAGTGATAGGTTCATCTTTGAGAGCTAAGCTTGGATTGTATGGGATGCTTTAAGAATCCTAAATAATGACATCACAGGATTCTGAAAGCTTACATTGTTTGGCATGCTATCACAACTCTAAATGATGATATCCCAGGTTTGGTGCTGAAAAAGCACATCCATGAAGATGGAAGACAGCATGGCATTCTATGGACATATAGGTTCTAGCCACCCCAGCCCATGGTACCTCCCTCAAGAGTGGCAACTTGTAGGGGCACAGAGAGCTGACACCAACAATTGAAAGGGTGTATAGCTTCACTTTGTGTGTGTTAAAGGGTGTGGAAAGCTTACATTGTTTGGGATACTTTCCAATTCTAAATAATGCTATCCTAGGATTGGTTTTGGAAACTGCTTCTGAGGGAAGGGAAATTATTCTGGAGACTGCAAAAGCTTCCAATGTTTGGGAGGCTTTCAAAAACCTAAAGAATGATATCCAAGGGTTGGTGCTGGTGGAGTACATCCATGAAGATGGCACACAGTGTGGCATTGCACAAATGCATGGGATCTAGTCACCCGGATCCCTCAAGGCAAGGATCCCATGTCATCTCTCTCAAGGCAATTTGCAGGGGTAGAGAGGGCTGTCTCCGATACTTCAAGAGGGTGGATGAGTTCACCTCATGTAAGCAAAGGAATGTGGAAAAGGTATCCCAGAGTTGGTGCTGATGGAGTACATTCCTGAAGGTGGACCTCCCCATGGAGGTCCTTCAACCATCTTAAATAATGGTGTTCCTGGAGACAGAACCCAAAAGGGTCTATGGTAGGCATGGGCCAACTTGGGCCCTCCAGGTGTTTTGAACCACCAGCTGTTAGGAACTGTGGGAGCTGAAGTCCAAAACACTTGGATGCCTGGTCTATGGGTTTATTTCATGTGGGCAAAGGGATATGGAAAAGCTTACATTGTTGGGGATGTTTTCATGGTCCTAAACAATGGTATCCTGGGCTTAGTGCTGATGAGTACATCCCTGAAGGTGGCCCTCCCTCCCGATGGAGGTTCTTCAACCATCTTAAATAATGGTGTCCCTGGAAACAGATTCCTAGAGGCATGGGCCAACTTTGGATCTCCGGGTGTTTTGGACTTCGGCGCCTGCAATTTAACGCTGAATTGCGGAAGTTGAACTCTAAAACACCTGGTCTATGGGTTCATTTCATGTAGGCAAAGGGATGTGGAAAGGCTTAAATTGTTGGGGATGCTTTCACAGTCCTAAATAACAGCATCCCGGGAATTGGCGCTGATGAAGTACATCCCTGAAGGTGGCCCTCCCCATGAAAGTCCTTGAACCATCCATGGCAGGCATGGGCCAACTTGGGCCCTCCAGGTATTTTGGATTTCAACTCCCACAATTCCTAATAGCCTACCACCTGGAGGGCCTAAGTTGGCCCATGCCTGATCTATGGGTTTGTTTCATGAGGGCAAAGCTGACATTGTTAGGAATGTTTTCTCATGGCTGGAAGACCCCATCTTCCTCAAGGTGGCCCCTCCACCAAGATTGGTGACTTAAACCCTTGACCCTCGAACCCAACCCTTCTCAATGCTCTACTGTTCCAGCTAAGGGGAACTGACAGAGCAGGGTCCACCTGCGGGCGTTCTTGGGGATGCTTTCAGGACCTTCAGTGAGAGTATCTCTGGACTGGGGCATGTAAGCTCGTAGAGCACATCATCAAGACTGGCACCCCCTACCCCTTAACCCTTCCCAATGGTCTACCCTTGAAGCTAAGAGGGACTCACGTGAAGGTATGGTAGAGCAGGGCTCACCTGTGGGGCCTCTCCATGAACATAGATGAAGAATGTGGAAAGTTTACACTGTTGGAGGTACTTGGGTTGGTTCTGGTGGAGGACATCCCTGAAGGTGTACCTCCCCATGCTTTCCCATGGCTGGAAGAACCCATCTTCATCAAGGTGGCCCCTCCACCAAGACTGGCGACCCCAACCCTTCCCAATGGTCTACTCTAGAAGCCAAGGGGAACTCACACCAAGGTGTGGTAAAGCAGGGCCCCCTGCATGGCCTCTCCATGGACATAGATGAGGAATGCAGAAAGCTAACACTGTTGGGGATACCTTCAGGATCCAAAAAAACCTTTCACGATCCAAAATAACAGTATCCTGGGGTTGGTTGCTGATGGAGTACATGCCTGAAGGTGGACCTCCCCATGCTTTCCCATGGCTGGAAGAGCCCATCTTCCTCAAGGTGGCCCCTCCACCAAAACTGACAACCCCAACCCTTCCCAATGGTCTACTCCTGAAGCCAAGGGGGACTCACACCAAGGTGTGGTAAAACAGAGCCCACTGCGGGACATCTCCATGGACATTGAAGAGGAATGTGGAAAGCTAACATTGTTGGAGATACTTTCACAGTCTTAAATAAGGGCATCCTGGGGTTAGCTCTGGCAGAGTACATCCCTGAAGATGGACCTCCACATGCTTTCCCATGGCTGGAAGAGCGCATCTTCCTCAAGGTGGCCCCTCCACCAAGACTGGCGACCCCAACCCTTCCCAATGGTCTACTCTTGAAGCCAAGGGCGACTCACACTAAGGTGTGGTAAAACAGAGCCCACAGTGGGACATCTCCATGGACATTGATGTGGAATGTGGAAAGGTAACATTGTTGGAGATACTTTCACAGTCTTAAATAATGGTATCCTGGGGTTGGTTCTGGTGGAGGACATCCCTGAAGGTGTCCCTCCCCATGCTTTCCCATGGCTGGAAGAGCCCACCTTCCTCAAGGTGGCCCCTCCACCAAGACTGGCGACCCCAACCCTTCCCAATGGTCAACCCTTGGCTGGAAGAGCCCACCTTCCTCAAGGTGGCCCCTCCACCAAGACTGGCGACCCCAACGCTTCCCCATGGTCAGCCCTTGAAGCCAAGGGGGACTCACTCACACGAAGGCGTGGTAGAGCAGGGCCCACCCGCGGGGCCTCTCCAGGGCGTCGTAGATGAGGGTCTGGCTCCGTCGGTACTTGAGGTTGTGCCTCTTGACCGGGTGCCGGCTGAGCGGCGTCTTGGCCAGCAGCCCCAGGCCTTGCCCGGCCGACCTCCTCCCGGGGACCCGGGGCAGCCCTTCCTCTTCTTCTTCCTCCTCCTCCTCGCGGGAGGGGCGGCCCAGGAGCAGGGTCCCGTCCTTGTCCGGCCCGGCGCCGCTTCCTCCGCCTTGCTCCAGGTCCGCTACCACTGCCGCCGCCGAGGAGGAGAGAGCCGGGGGCCCCTTCGGACCTTCCCGCCGGGGCTCAGCATCTCGTGCTCGAGGGGGAGCGGAGGAAGAAGAAGAAGAGGCAGCCCCCTTTGCTGACGCCCCCGCCGCCGCCGCCGTCTTCCTGGCTTTGAGTCCCATCCTCCGCGGCCTCCTCCTCCTCCTCCTTCCTCCGGGTCCGTCGAGGGGAGCGAGGGGCGCAAGGAAGGAGAGCGGGGAGAAGAAGAAGAAGCAGGAGGAGGAAGAGGAGGAGGGGGGTCCGCGGGGAGCCGAGGGCCATGGTCCGGAGCCCAGGCTGGGAAGAGGAGGAGGAGAGGGAGGAGAGAAGGGAGAGAAGGGGGAGAAGAGGAGGAGGAGGAGGTGGAAAGCCAAGCACGGGGAGCCTCTGTCAAGTCATCCTCTTCCCAGAGAAGGGAGAGGCGCTGAGGCCAAGGCTGGTGGGTGCAAGAGAGGCTGCTGCTGCCGAGGAGGAGGAGGAGGAGGAGGAGGAGGAAGAGGAGGAGGAGGAAGGGGAGAGGATGCTGCCGAGAGCCGATCCGCCACACCTGGAGGCGCCGCGCAGCATCTCGCCTTCCTCCCGCTCGCCTCTTCCCTTCCTTCGCCCGACCCTCTTCGGCCCAGCCCGGCCTCGCCTCACAGAAAGGCGTGGCTCCCGAATCCCCTCCACCAATCAGCGCCCGGAGCTCCTCCTCCGACTCCGCCCCCAATTTGGGTCCTTTCCCCCCCCATGCCCCCTCCCCGGCGGAGGATGGAGGAAGCAGCCCTGGTCGTCCTTTCTAGGGATTGGATGGGCTTCCTTCCTAGGCATTTGGCAATCGGGGCCCAAAAGGGAGATGGACAGAGGGAAAAGGATTGCTGGCTATGTTTAGCCTTCAGAAGAGAAGGATGAGAGGAGACATATTGAGAGGAAGTCATAGGGAGGAGGAGGCAAGCTTGTTTTCTGCTGCCCTGGAGACTAGGACGTAGTAATGGCTTCAAACTACAAGAAAGGAGATTCCACCTGTGGAGCTGTTCAGCAGTGGAACTCTCTGCCCCGAAGTGTGGTAGAGGCTCCTTCTTTGGAGGCTTTTCAACAGAGGATGGATGGCCATCTGTTGGGGGTGCTATGAATGTAATTTTCCTGCTTCTTGGCGGTGGGGGGGGGGGAGGCAAACGTCATAGAATCATAGACTCAAAGAGTTGGAAGAGACCTCATGGGCCATCCAGTCCAACCTCCTGCCAAGAAGCAGGAATATTGCATTCAAATCACCCCTGACAGATGGCCATCCAGCCTCTGTTTAAAAGATTCCAAAGAAGGAGCCTCCACCACACTCCGGGGCAGAGAGTTCCACTGCTGAACAGCTCTCACAGTCAGGAAGTTCTTCCTCATGTTCAGATGGAATCTCCTCTCTTGTAGTTTGAAGCCATTGTTTGCGTCCTAGTCTCCAGGGAAGCAGAAAACAAGTTCGCTCCCTCCTCCCTGTGGCTTCCTCTCACATATTTATACATGGCTATCATATCTCCTCTCAGCCTTCTCTTCTTCAGGCTAAACATGCCCAGCTCCTTAAGCCGCTCCTCATAGGGCTTGTTCTCCAGACCCTTGATCATTTTAGTCGCCCTCCTCTGGACACATTCCAGCCTGTCAATAGCTCTCTTCCATCAAGAGAGAATGCTTCTGGAACATGGCCACACAGCCCAGAAAACTCACAGCAACCCAATATTATTATTCTTGCCATCATTATTATTGGGTTGTTATTATTCTTGCCATCATTATTATTGGGTTTTTTCAGGCTATATGGCCATGTTCTAGAGCAGTGGTTCTCAACGTTCCTAGTGCCGCAACCCCTTAATATAGTTCCTCATGTTGTGGTGACCCCCAGCCATTAAATTATTTTCATTGCTACTTCATAATTGTAATTTTGCTACTGTTATGAATTGTAATGTAAATATCTGATATGCAGGATGTATTCTTATTGCGGTGTTATGAGAGGATTGATTTTGTCATTTGGGAGTTGTAGTTGCTGGGATTTATAATTCACCTACATTCAAAGAGCATTCTGAACTCTACCAACATTGGAATTGGACCAAACTTGGCACACAGAACTCCCATGACCAGTGGAAAATACTGGAAGGGTTTGGTGGGCATTGGCCTTGAGTTTGGGAGTTGTAGTTTGCCTACACCCAGGGAGCACTGTGGATTCAAACAATGATGGATCTGGATCAAACTTGGCATGAATATTCAATATGCCCAAATGTGAACACTGGTGAAGTTTGAGGAAAATAGACCTTGACATTTGGGACTTGTAGCTGCTGGGATTTATAGTTCACCTACAACTAAAGAGCATTCAGAAGCCCACCATTGATAGAATTAGGCCAGAAACAGAGAATGATCAACACAAAATACTGTATGTGATGAGCTCTGGTGACCCCTCTGACACCCCCTTGCAACCCCTCCAGGGGTCCCGACCCCCAGGTTGAGAACCACTGCATGCATTATTTGCCAATACATCACACAGTCCTAGACACTTGGGAAGTGTCCGACGTGTGATCCAATACAACAGCCAGCAGAGTGTCTGCTGTGGACTCATCTTGTTGTGTTTCAAATAATAATAATAATAATAATAATAATAATATTATTTATATTCTGCTCTCTCTCCCCCCAAAGGGACTCGGGGCTGATTCCAAACATAAAAGGCAAACATTCAATGCCCAAATACAACAACAATACATCCATACTAACAAAATTTAAACCACCCAATATATAAGTACAAATTAAAACTTAACAACTAAAATTAAATAAAAAGCACAGCCTGCTATAACTGTTGCAACTCAGGGTAGCTTCCACCTTGCTCCAGACACCACCACACCAAAGCTGTAGGTTTTGCAGTTTATTGAGAAAAAGGCAAAATCAAAACAAAGTATAAGAAATGCAGGAGTTCCATAGGCAGGACAAAGGCTTAAATGCAAAGACAAAGTTCCCAAGATCCAAAGGCAAAAACATGAAGCATAATCCTTTAGCAATGGTCAAACAAGAGTCCATGGTAAACAGTTGAAAACAAGGCCCAAATCCCAGACTCAGGAAGCCAGAAGCATGCTGCTAAAAGCCAAAGTTAATCCACAGAAGTTTGCATGGGAAGAGCTATGTTGGACTACAAGGCTAAATACCCTTTGCAGACATGAATGCATTGCGTTGACCTTTGGCATCCTTGGTTTCTCACTTGCTAGCCAAGTGAGTGCTTCTCTGGAGCCTTAATTGCAGATATCTTGCCTGCTCATTAATTCATTATCTTCAAGGCTATGTAACCCCTTATCTTGGTCCAGCTGGACCGGATCACTGTGGGGAGGAAAAGACGTCTTCACCTGGCCATGTGGGAATTCACTCTCGTTATCAGTCTCACTAACATTCCTTTCCCCTGGGAACTGACTTGCTGTTTCTCCTTCAGCAGCCCCACCGTCAGCCCTGTCTGAAGCATGTACAGAAATCTGTAACCCATCATCCTCATCATCCTGTAGGAATTCTGGCTCAGAAGGCCCAAAGAGCTCAGCTTCGGACTCAGGGTCAAGCTGAGTCACAACAATAACAGACATAAGATAAAACATCAAACATCAAATGGAAACAATAACTTCTCATTTCTTTGGGACAAAGAAATGATTAACCGCATATAGGAGTGGAACAGCCAGATTCTTTTGGATTGCTATTCACAATCATTCATTGCATATTACCAGTGTATATATCAAATAAATGTTTTTTAATAGTCAAAAGGATGGAGATGAAATGAAAAAAGAAAGCGATCAAGAACTGCTGTTCTCAAAGAGATGGATGGCCTGTCCATTGCCAGCAACGTCTTGTGGCTGCCAGATGGTAAACACAATATTAGACATCATAATCTTTCTGAATGTAGTCCACCAATCCTTAATTTAAGGATAAAATGAATAAGCATATTTTACCCACCTGTATCAAAATAATGGATCACTGCCTCAATGCCAATATGATGATTTTATCAGCTGGGTGACAAAAGAGCTCAAGGTAGCATTCATCAAGGCAGGCACAAAAGTAATCCCGGGTGACAAATGCACTTCTACCCAAATGCATCTCAGTGGTTTATAATATTGAGTCAGGGAATCAGGGGAAAGGCTGAAAGACCTCCTAAGACAACCTTTGACTGCAAAGCAGGTTTTGCCACACAAATAAACCAACACAGATCTAGATGGCAAAGTGAGGCACATGTCAGAGATTAGAAAGAGACTGCTGTCATTCTTTCTGTGTCCTCCAGACATTTTCCATAGTGGGAGAAAAGAAACATTCTGCCACATGGATCCACAACTAGGTTGCAGTGGTGCAATGGATTAAATGAGTGATTCTCAACCTATGGGTCCCCAGGTGTTTTGGCCTACAACTCCCAGAAATCCCAGCCAGTTTACCAGCGGTTGAAGGCCAAAGCATCTGGGGACCCACAGGTTGAGAAACAGTGGGTTAAACCCTTGTGGTAGCTGAACTGCTGACCTGAAGGTCAGTGGTTCAAATCCAAGGAGCAGGGTGAGCTCCTGTCTGTTAGCTCCAGCTACTCATGCAGGGACATGAGAGAAGCCTCCCACAGGATGGTAACACATCTGGGCATCCTCTGGGCAACGTCTCTGCAGACAGCCAATTCTCTCACATCCGAAGTGATTTGCAGTTTCTCAAGTCGCGTCTGACATGATAAAATCCCCAACTTGGCTTTTTGTCACAGATGTGGTGGAGAACATCATCTAATCAGTACATAAGTCCAATACATGGAATTGGAGCCTAGGCTGCCCTCTTGTTTTTAATCCCAGCTGAGAAATGTTTTTGCTCTTATTTTCTTAGCTCATGTAGTTCTAAACTCTGTCTACAGCCTCTTGATCTCTGTCTACAATTTCTGTTTTGAACAGTGTGTTGAACTGCCGAGAAAGTTGATTCCCAGTGCAATGAAAATAAGGAAAACAGTCTCTTATCATCCAAACCATTGGAAAATCACTGCAAATCATGGAAGATTGGACCTGTCCCCCACCCCTTCAAAATGGCAAGTAAAGTGAAAAAAGATTGCCACAGTTTAGCTAAAAACTGTGAAACCAACCTCACATTATTCATGTCACTTGAGATATACGAGTGTGGTCTACAGAGGAGATGGAAACTGGTCCAAGCTTTGGCACCATTGCCCACCCTTCACCTATGCAATGGTGCCTTCTGATTTTGTTTGAATCCCTTCGCAAAGGGTATCCTCAACTCAGGAAACTTTCATGCAATTTCCTGAGTTGAGGAAAATAGATGGTGGCCCCATTCCATGCATAAAAGCTGACCAAACTTGAAATTCTAGGTTTCGCCAAAAGTAGAGGCGAGAAGAATGGGCAAA